CATTCAATACCTCTCCACCACAGCAACCGTTCAATTCCTCTCAAGCTAAATAAGAATGGGCAATTGAGGGGTGTAGGGGGGCCGGCCTTAGGATTGGGGATTCAACCTTTTGGGAGGAGAAGAATGGGCAATTGAGTGAATCGACAATCTACTTTCATAATCCACAAATAACAAATCTTCTCTGCGGTCAGCCGGTCCTGACTCTGTTCGCCGCCTTCACCACTCCGGTCTACAATTGTAATTTGCAAAGGTATTTTAATTTTTATGATTTGATATTTTTTTTTGAAAGCTATGATTTAGGAATTATGCCGTATTGTTAATTGTATTGTTGAAAAGTCTATGATTTGGCCATTTAAGAATTGGGATTTGCAGAATTGTAGAATGTACTGCATTAGAAATTTGTAGAATTCTGATTTCTGAAAGCTCTATAATTTATTTAAGAATGATAATTTTTAATTGGGATTCTTAGTTTGCAGATTAAATAATTATCCATTTATCCAGAATTCTAAATTCTTAATTGTTAATTGAAATATTGAAAGTTGTATTGTTAATTGGATAAGCTGTATTGTTGTATCTATTCCTTCAAGTAAAATGGCATTTGTCAAATGCCAAAGTAATTTTTTGGTTTAATTTACTAATTACTTTGCTTTAGTGATTCATATTGCCTCTTTTTAAGCTTCTGTTGAATGTTGATGTCCAAATATTAATGGGGATTTATTCGGAATTAATTGGGCTATATGTTACTTTCAAAAAAAAAAAAAAATTGGGCTATATGTTATAATTTCATTTATTATGCAAAATATTAATCTTTATTTTTGCAGGGATTGAATGACATGAATATTTTTGTATTTAAAAAAATTGTTAAAAATTTTCTAATCTTATTTCATATTATTTGACATCATGATTTTATTAGTATTATTAAATTTTAATTTTAATTTTTCAAATAAAGGCCCTTTTTTTCAATTCCGCCCCGGGCCTATAAAATGTTTGGACCGGCCCTGTACACGATAACAATAAATTAAAAAAATACTTTAAGAGTTAAATAAATATTTTATATGTAATCAGCTAAGAGTAAAACATATAATTTACCAATCACCCTTATATAACCATCTAATACTGTCAACTGATTAAACCAGCTAACATAATCAACTATCAGCTATCAACTAACAACCAATTGCCAAACATGACTTATAAACCATTTTCTAAACACTCCCTATATCATAATCATAATTACATATCAAATAATCAATTTATAAATATTTAATTTTAAATTTAGAGAAAAGTTCACTTTTGGTTCTCTAAATATTGTACTTAAATCATATTTGGTCATTGACTATTAACATTTTCTAGTTAGGTGCATGACTATGTAATTTTTTCACATTTAATCTTGTCGAGCAATTTTCTAACTAACTATCATCAGAATGTCAAGGCTAGATATCATCTGATATAATTAAAAGGACATTTAGTCTTTCTAAGTCTAATTTTAAGTCTCTATTATTTGCTTTGCTTCGCTCTATCCCATTTCTTTCTTCCTCTCCAACGTGCTTTTTTTTTTTTTTTTTTTTTCATTAAGGTCATTCTCCTTCTCTTTCTCATCCCCTTCTTCCTCCTCCCCCCTCTTCCTTGCTCACTAATTTCATAATCATAAACAGGAAAGTTCATAATAGGTTCGCTGGTTACGAGAATTGCGTAAATGAATATTTGGACCCCAGAGAAGGAAAACCAACGTAGTGTAGTCCGAGTTTGTGATTAAAGAAAATCGATGTTCTAGACTTCGACTTTTTTTTAATTGTTTTTTAAATACATTCGGACCCTTTTGGTTCGAATGTATTCATAAAATTAATTATGTTTTTTTTAAAAAAATTTTTTAAGGAATGCAACGAATGTATTCATAATATTTTTTTGCCGAAGAAGGTTCATGCTCAGTATGTGTCTATACTTCATATTATAATTCGAAGAAGGTTCATGCTCAGTATGTGTCTATACTTGATATTATAATTTGAATTTAGATGAAAAAATTGGATAATTAAAAATATAAACAAAGCATTATTTATTGATGATTCAAAGTAGGACAGTTGGGGGAAGAATGAGTTGTCCTCCAACAATACCTACATCTTCTACTTCGATTTGAACCTACGCGTGCGGCGCTGTCCTCGTTGATTTGGTTGCCTAGCAGAAATTGGTGGAAGGCAAGTAACTGGACCAGTACACTGAATTCTTTCGTCTACGGGGTAAAAATTACCGGCATAACAGTTCCTGTAATTTTCAACCAAGTAAACATCTGGCACTAATGGGCCGAATCCTTGCCCTCGGTAATTGCATGCTGCAATCACATGTGCACAAGGTAAGCCGTTGACGTTCCACAAGCCGCAGTTACACGTACGTTCCGTTAGATTCACTTGAAAGTGATATTGTTGACTTTGGGAAACGTAACCAGTATTTAGGGCAACACCATAGATTCCGAGGGCGTCATTGTAACGTTGAACGCTTGCATCGCTTGCCTCATTGTTTCGAGCTGACAAATCATCGGTAATGTTTGTCGTGAATCGCAGGCCGTGTTGCTGCATCCCCTCTCCCGCAGTACGCCTGTCGGCAAACATAGTCCGTAACTTGTGAAAAGTCATTCGGACTATTGCCGTGACCGGTAACATCCGACAACACTTTAGTGAATTATTTAGTGACTCAGACGGATTGGTCGTCATGATGCCGTACCGGTGACCATCGTCGTGAGATAATGTCCACTTATCGACATCAATGTCGGCAAGATAGGCGTATGCAGCGGGCCATTTGATTTGGATTGCATGCATGTGTTGAAGGAATTGATCCCTTGTCACAGCAGTACCAGCTTCCCACACAAGTTTTCGTAACCGCCTATTTCTGGTCACCCTTGACATGACATTGCTGCGAATGTGTCTTAGGCAAAACCGGTGTTTGACACGGCCCCCCTTCAATTGTTCGATGGAATTAATCACTGCATCGATTCCAGCGTGTCTATCCGAGACGATGCACGTGGAATTGTGATGTGGAAAGACATTTTCGGCCAGAAGTCGAAGAAACCAAGTCCAATTGGCATTATTTTCGGAGTCCACGATCGAATATGCCAATGGATAGATTTCCTTGTTGGCGGTATATCCGCAGGCTAGCAGGAGATGGCCTTTGTACCGGTTGTACAAGTGGGTACCGTCAACACAAATAACCGGGATGCAGTAGCGGAAACCATCTATTGCGGGCTTGAACGCCCAAAATGCGTACAAGAAATTTGCGTACCCTGTACCCCTTTCTGCGTTATGTGTGGTCATGATTTCCACAATGGTACCTGGGTTGGACAGTTGCAACTGCCGGCAGAATTGTGGTAGCTCATTGTACGACTGCCGGTAATTCCCGTACTGCATTTCAATGCATTTGTGTCTGGCATACCAAGCTTTCCGGTACGAAATGTCGACACCATATCGTTGTCTCACATCCACTTGGATGTGTTTTATTTTGTACTGTGGATCCGCAGTGATCTTTTGAAAGATCAGATCACATATTAATGAGCTGGTGCATAGTTTGTCCGCGGGCCGCTGGTTGAATAGAACAGTGCACTCGTGGGGCTGAGTGTACTTCGTGACCTGCCATTCAGTAGATGCCCCATGCAACTTCTTTGCGGATAATGTCCACGGGCAAGATGGTGTTGAGATGTAATGTGTACAGGAGACCTTCTAATTTGCCATTTTTTTTGTGGTTGGTGACGTAGTCCCGGCCGTGCAGCATATTGTATGTTCCTACTGCTTTTTTTAGCGTCGGAAAATCCGGGAATACCATTCCTTTTGCAATAACATTTGTGGAGGGGTCATATGATAGTGTTTCATCATCGTCCCTCTCAGTAAAGCCGTATGTGAATGCAGTTGTTGGAGGTGGTATCGGTGAGTGGTAAGACGGCACCGCATAATCTGGCAATCGATGACCCTGACCTCGATTCATTTGAGTAGTTACATTCATTGAATCGAAGTTGAATGGAACTGACTCCTGTATGTCTTCGTCGTCTGTACTTCCTGAATTCTCGGACGGTATGGACTCATCAGGTTGATACGTGGCATCACTTTCTGATGAACTTTCCACCATTGTTGACTCAGATGGAAGTTCCTTTGGTGGATCGACATCGTTAACTCCGAATCCGCCACCATAAATATCTTTTGTCTGAACGTACACATGTAACTCTCCGTTTGGCATTGTTTGTCGTATGAAGTATTCCCAGTCTCTTTCTCGCGCAATGTGTAGTAGATAGTGTGTGCTTCCCATTGTAGCATCCACTATCACTCTTCCAATCAGCTCAACATTGTCCTCAATGTTGATTCCCATTGCTTGTCTGATCATTAACTCCATAGGAATGAGTCCAATATTTGATGGTATTGGAATAACTACTCGAGGCTGGAGTGAATAATTTATCTGTGGCGGTGCCCCATTGGTTTGTATTTCCCCACCCCAAAAAACGAAAACATATGTAGATATAGCTGCCATTTTAAAAGAATTGCAGTTCGAGAAAATTGAATTTGGCTCTTTGTAAATATGAGATTCGCAAATGTTGTGGTGCAGTTGTGGGGCAGTTGTGGGGCTTGGTTGATTTGTTCGTATAGTAGTGTGGTATTTATAGTAGTGTACTAGAGTCCGAAATAATTATATTTAAATGTCCCTAACAGCTTTAGTTGTTTGTATAGTAGTGTTCTATTTATAGTAGTGTACCAAAGTGTAGTCCCTATCAGCTTTATGAAAGTCTAGTCTCTATCACAAAGCACTTTTTTTATAAAATCACTTATCAGTAAAATAAATTTGGTGAGACTCCAACTATTGTCAAGTTGTGCCAATTACTTTTTTTTTTTATTTTTTTTTTTATTTTTTTTTTTATTTTGATAGTGTTGCCACTATCAAAAATTACATTTTATAAAATTAATTGGAGTATGGAAGGAAAATATGATAGGGTTGGTTTATGCGTACAAAACATAAAACTTAAACACATGCCAAACAACAATGGAGTAAACTCATGCAAATATTTATTCAAACATTATGTTAACTTATTTGGAAAGTAGATGTTTAAATTCTTCAACGATTGCATCCAGTTTCATCGCGTGCTCGTGATTCTCACGTGCGAGTTCATCTTGCATACGAGCTAAGATTTCCTCATTTGAAAATGTGTTTGTATTCGGTACGGTGGAGCTGGAACTTGAAGCGGAATTAGAACTGCATGCTTGGGAATCATGTCGTTGACTACTTATGAATCTGTTGAAAGCTTGAATGGCTTCATCCCTCGAGTTGTATGATTTATACAAGTTGTCGCTATAGCGATGCACTTGAGTTTTTGCATCCTCCCAATTGTCATATATTTCCGGTTGGCGACCAACAAACACAACATACGTTTTACCACGCATGTTGGGCCTGTCTCGACGACCATCTGCACGCCGAGGGCCAAATGGTTCATCCGGCATCGGAGCCCCAAAGTATTGCTGCGGTGCCACGTGCAATAGGAACTCGTACTCAGTATTGATCATCATATCAGTACTCCGCTGCTCAACATCCCTAATGAATGCATCGCGATCGGCGTCAGGATTGTCGAGGACCTGATGGGAATCTAACCTCAACCGGTTGAAGGCATGCATCTAATTTAAACAAAATGCGTTAGGAATTATTACGAATAAAATAATAACAAATCTAAATTTATTCCAATTATTGCAAAACATTTGTAATATACTAACCGCATCATTCAGTGATGCTGCACACTGCACGAATCCCTGGTTACTATAATGCGAAGGGTTACCAATAAGCCGTTGACCGTGCATGTAGTACCATGTGTGGTACCTATCCACAACCTGCGGTCGATCAGTTCATTGCATGTGGATAACCAAATCATACCGAGCATTCTAACGGGCCACGTGCTCTGCGTGTTTTAGTGACCAATTAGTCCGAGACCTACCCCGTTGGTCCATATCGTGCAACCGTTGGTCGTACACCACATCTGCTGGCACAACCTGCAAACCATTGAATTGCCTGCAGAACCGGTCAGGGTGGTGATATTCCACCACGTGGTAAAAAATAAGCGGAACACGAGCAGTCCACAAAATCCTCCCCGCTGTGCAATATGGGGGCAAGGCATCGAGATAGTCATCGTAAGGGGTGAAATTAAACTGCATAGAAAATATAAATTATGAACTGACTAAAATAATATTCCATGTAAAGGTATTCATATTCATAAAATTACTTACTCTATGTTCAGCTACGCGATCTAATTGATCGCGATAGGCTACGACAGTGTGCGTAGGCACTGATAACCAAGAATGCCGACAAACCCACCTACAACAATGTCAAAGTAAATAAATACTACTACTTCAATATTAAAACATTGATGCAGCCAATTTAGAGATCGTTACCTGTATGCAATAGGGTAGTCAGCGATTTGGTTGCGCGGCAATACACCTTGCGGCTGAAACATAGGCAGCCTCTCCCATGCCCAAATCTGGACTAGAAGAAGACACCCATACACTGTACGTTTGTCGGCTTCGGAAGCTCTACACAACGCCCTGTAAAGACATCCCAGAACAGCCGAACCCCAAGAATATTCACCACAAATATACAGATTACTAACGTACGGGAGCAAGTACAATTTATATTTCCCTTTGGTTGCGTTGGGAAATAAAAAACTGTTTAATAAATAATATATAAAACGTCGGGCTGCCAACAACACTTCTTCATCTGTGCTGTCCGCATGAAGAGCCTGAACGTCCAGGACAGCTGACCCGTGAATCATGGTGGTGGACAGGAACCTATCGGCAGGCTCAACTCCCAACAGCTCATTGCACATTAACTTTACTTCTGCCGGAGTGCCAATTGTATCCTCACCCGTCACCAAAAGTCCGTCGACCTTAAGGCCGAATAACACTTCAACATCTTGAAGAGTTATTCCAACCTCACCGAAGGGCATGTGAAAAGCGTGGACCTCCGGCCTCCATCGCTCTAAAAGGGCAGTAATAAGCCCATGATCCAACTGAATTTTGGGCAACTGAGAAACACCATACAAACCAGCGACTCGCAGCCACGCTTTGACTCTATCATCATTCACGGCTGCACACCTAGTCAACGTATCGTATTTAACGACTTTAAGTTGAAAGTCATACGTTGGATCCGTCCAAATTGCCCTACTACGATGACGGGTTTGAAATGGTAACGAACCCTCTTGTAGTGGCCCGGGATGCACTCGCCTGTTGTTAGCCATTCCTGTATCAAAACAATTCATAATACTTACAAATTAAAAACATTATAACAACTTCGAACAACAAGTTACGCAATTAACAACACGACAGTACATAAATAAAAAATTTCAAGTACATAAATAAAATATGTACGAGGCATAATCAGTACATAATAAAAAATATGCTCTTTTAAACGCAAAACTCGGAGCACTTTGGTCCGAATTTTTTTTAAATCGGACCAAAATGCTCCGAATTACAAATTTTAAAAAAATTTGTAAGACTCGGACCCTAATGGTCCGAGTTTTACAATTCCGGATTGGTGAAGCAGAAGCCGAATTTTTCTAAATCGGACCAAAAAGCTGAATTTTTTATTTTTGGTTCGGAATTCCTCAAGCAGTTCAAATAAGAATATTTTTTACTTAACAAATACATAAATAATTACTGCATTCAAACGTCAAATATATATATATATATAAACTGCTTTTAAAATATAAAAACTTATTTTAGTCACATCCCATTCAGTGAAACCATAATTTCTACTAAATCAGTGATTGGAACTCGTGGGACAGTCACATTCTATTTATTCATTTTATATATAGTTGGTTGGTTTATGATGATAAATACACAATACACCTATTATAACATTTGTTGTACCAATATAACATTTCTTTTTACATATTTCTATGACATTGAATATATATAATTATACACTCCTAATTTTTTTATTTTGTTTTTTTTTTTTGGTTCGGACTTCATCACTCCGGTTTAAATTATAATAATATACTCAAAGAAAAAATAAATTCTGACTTAACAAATAAAATAATAATAACTTCATTTAAACATAAAAAAATATATATAAACGGCATTTAAAATATATATATTTCACATTTAGTAAATTTCCCATTTTGTTCTGGTATCTACTGATAATGTATATTTAACGGTAATAAATGGAGTAATAAACTTCTCTGAATAATTTCACACAATTATTTTTTTTTTGGGTTAAATAAATGTTATAAACACTACAAACATCAAAGTCAAAACATGAAATAATATGCTACAATGCGATATAATCTACAATAAAACAACATAACAAAATAATAAATACTGCGGTGTATAAAATATGAACTGACTAAAATAATATTCCTCAATATAATTTTTTTTTTTACCTCAAATATAAACCTTTTTTTTTCCTACGCAGTGTAAAACAACTCAAATATATATATATATATATATATATATATATATATATATATATATATATATATATATATATATATATTTTTTTTTTTTTTTTTTTTTACCTCAATATTGCAAAACTGTAGATGTTTGGGAAGATGTTTGAGAAGATATTTGGGAAGATCCAGTGCTGATCCAATCTAAATGCTTGAGAAGTGGCTTGGGAAGAAACTTTTAATAACACAAATATGTTGAGAGAGAAAACCTTTGTGAAATGGCTATGAATCGGAACAAATACTTTAGTAGAATCAGAACAAATGCTTTAGTAGAACAAATGCAACAACACTTGTGGAGCATACATTTATTACCATACATCTGAAAAAGCATGCATGCATTGTAACATCAGGTGTGGAGTCCAATAAAGTTGTTCCTAGGGAATATAATTTTACATTTACGATAAAGTTTCATTGGGAAGGGAAGCTGTCTGACAATGCTTGGGGTTTGAGTAGAACCGGAACAAATGCTTTAGTAAATGTGAATCAAACCTGCGCAGGGACCACCAGCATGCATTGGGGTTTGAAGCTGTCTCACAATGCTTGGGGCGGTGGGTGGGGCGGTTGTTGGGAAATTAAAATCCGAAAATTATTCTAAAAATCGGATGCTCACCCACCGACTTTTGTTATTCAGAAAATCGGACTCCAAGTGTACGCTTTTCCCTGCCTTGTATCCACTTTTCCATGCATGCAATTTTAGTATCCACCCAATAAATCCTGCATCACCAGCAAATGCACCCCTAATTTCAACCAATTGTATTCCTTGCACAAACCATAACCAATAGGGTCGAAACCCACAAAGTGATGGTCCAAGATTTGATACAGTGTGATATGCATGACGTACCTCCTAAGTATATATGCAAAATACTCATCCTTATATATCATATATCCCCATTGTTTTGAAATACCTTCTCCACAGCCACAACTATATCCCCATTGTTTTGAAATACCTTCTCCACAGCCACAACTAAGGGTGTGTTTGGTTGGAGGATTTTGCCCATAGAAATGGGTATAAAAGTGAATGTTGTTGTTTGGTTGATAGGTTTTTAGAACATTACTATGGGTTTCGAATACCCCATCAATTGAAAAACCCATACCCAAATAAAATAAGGGTTTCATTCCCTTATTCATTCTCAAGCACTACTATTAATAACCATTCCCATTCCACCCTACTACCTAGGGCCGGCCCTGGGGCATGGGCAGGCTGGGCCCCTGCCCAGGGCCCATCCCTAGAGGGGGCCCATAAACTAAGATATTATAATATATTGTATATTGTCTATATTATTTAGTATATATTAGAAAAAATTATTTAATTATTTTTGACTTAATGAATTCTTATGGAAGTCGAATAGATGGAAAATCCAGGAAGAATCGAAGAAAAAAGGCATCAGCGCATCGCAAGTCGCAACCATTCAATACCTCTCCACCACAGCAACCGTTCAATTCCTCTCAAGCTAAATAAGAATGGGCAATTGAGGGGTGTGGGGGGGCCGGCCTTAGGATTGGGGATTCAACCTTTTGGGAGGAGAAGAATGGGCAATTGAGTGAATCGACAATCTACTTTCATAATCCACAAATAACAAATCTTCTCTGCGGTCAGCCGGTCCTGACTCTGTTCGCCGCCTTCACCACTCCGGTCTACAATTGTAATTTGCAAAGGTATTTTAATTTTTATGATTTGATATTTTTTTTTGAAAGCTATGATTTAGGAATTATGCCGTATTGTTAATTGTATTGTTGAAAAGTCTATGATTTGGCCATTTAAGAATTGGGATTTGCAGAATTGTAGAATGTACTGCATTAGAAATTTGTAGAATTCTGATTTCTGAAAGCTCTATAATTTATTTAAGAATGATAATTTTTAATTGGGATTCTTAGTTTGCAGATTAAATAATTATCCATTTATCCAGAATTCTAAATTCTTAATTGTTAATTGAAATATTGAAAGTTGTATTGTTAATTGGATAAGCTGTATTGTTGTATCTATTCCTTCAAGTAAAATGGCATTTGTCAAATGCCAAAGTAATTTTTTGGTTTAATTTACTAATTACTTTGCTTTAGTGATTCATATTGCCTCTTTTTAAGCTTCTGTTGAATGTTGATGTCCAAATATTAATGGGGACTTATTCGGAATTAATTGGGCTATATGTTATAATTTCATTTATTATGCAAAATATTAATCTTTATTTTTGCAGGGATTGAATGACATGAATATTTTTGTATTTAAAAAAATTGTTAAAAATTTTCTAATCTTATTTCATATTATTTGACATCATGATTTTATTAGTATTATTAAATTTTAATTTTAATTTTTCATATAAGGGCCCTTTTTTTCAATTCCGCCCCGGGCCTATAAAATGTTTGGACCGGCCCTGCTACTACCAAACATGTTAAATACTTTCACCAAAACCCATTACCATTACCAAATATTTGATACTCATTCCGATTCCGATTCCTATGTGCGAACCAAACACACCCTAAATCTTGGGCGGCATACTCGGCAATTGCATTTCTTTACACCTAAACTTGCGAAGTGCGAAATCTATCTTTCTATTACGAATTACTCTCAAACCAGCGAATATAAAATTTGATTCGCAGGTTTGAGAGTAACTCGTAAAAAAAAATAGGAATTTTGCACTGACCGAGAGTAAAGAGATATCAATATTGAGATTACTGAATTGTCTATTTATTTAACACCAATTTGACGAAATAACAAACGGATGATTAAATTGAGCAAACACACAAAATTCTGAGACTATATTAAGTCACTAAAGTCGTTTCTGACGAAATTGAGAAAAATCACTATAGTCCATCCATTTTGAATATTAACTCGTTGTTTTAATTACCTACTGTTACACAATCATTATACCGTGCACCAGGGCGCACATAACAATGTGCGTCTCGCGCCTCCCAAAACGACGTCGTTTTGATAAGTTCTGTATTTTCAGGTATAACTGTGCATTCTATTATATAATTCTATACATTCGAAACATGAGAATTTTCAGTTATAAAATTTCGTGTTTTCAGGTATAAAATTTTGTGCATTCTATTATATAATTCTGTACATTCTATTATATAATTCTGTAAAATTCTGTGTTTTCAGGTATAAAATTCTGTGCATTCTATTATATAATTCTGTACATTTTAAACATGAGAATTTCCAGTTATAAAATTATGTGTTTTCAGGTATAAAATTCTCTGTATTCTATTATACAATTCTGTACATTCGAAACATGATTTTTTTTAAAGAGTTAACAACAGACACACGAAAATGTCCAAAATGACGTCGTTTTGGGCCAAGACGCACAATGCATTGTGCGCCCTGATGCACGGTATAATTTGCCTCGGAAAAAGTCTTTATTGTCAGGTAGACAACTGACATTGACAAATTTTATAACTGAAAATTCTCATGTTTCGAATGTATATAATTATATAATAGAATGCACAAAACTTTATACCTGAAAACTCAGAGTTTTATAACTGAATACACATAATCTTTTTTTAACAGGATAAAAATTTCACTAATTTTTTTTTTTTTTTGAAAGTAAAAATTTCACTAATTTGAATGTACAAATTGTATAACAAATACACATAATTTTATAAAATACAAGCCGTGGTGCACGGTATAACGATTGCTTTTCCGACAACTGGGTAGCCGCTTATGGTTTTTAGCTGCTTACAGAAATGGGGATTAAGAAGGAGAAGAAAACTTCATCTTCCTCAGCAACTTCACCTTGCGCCCACCTCAGAGAAGCTTACCACAATTGCTTCAACAGGTCCGTTTCCCCTTTCATAGTCCTCTGTGTGTGTGTGTTTTGGTGTTTCAATCTCCATTTCCCAAAAGAAATACACAGAAAAAAACTAGTTTTATTTTTATTTTTTAATTGTTGTGCTGATTAATAGTCACATAGCAGTTATATGAAACCTTTTCAGAAGTCGATCCTGCTAATTTTCCTTAAACCCTAAACAGTGAAGTTGATGGTTGGTACTTTAATGTTTTTTCCCCAGATGGTATTCTGAGAAGTTCTTGAAGGGTCAATGGGATAAAGAAGAATGCGTTTCGGAGTGGCAGAAATATCGAGATTGTCTTTCTGTAAGCTGTTTTTCCTTTGAATAACCAGTGAAGATTGAAGAATGTGTTTGTTAATTATTTTTCTGAGTATGTATTTGTTAATTATTTTCAGCAACATTTGGATGATAAATATTTGAGTAGATTCTTGGAAGCGGAGGGCACTATCAATTTGGGCAATCAAACTGATTTTAGTGGCCCTGCCGGAGCTCCTAGACAATAGCAACTCTATAACTTATGGAGATACTTGAGAAAGGTGAATTTATGAAGAGATTGACTAAATTCTTTAACAGCACTGCATTTAGATTTAATGTTTATTTGACATGCAATCAATTTGAGGCAAATTGATCCAAGTTCCATGTGATTGAAAGTGTGGCGTATCCAAATGTTCCAAGGTCCAAAATATGGATTGTGGAAATTTGATACCAAATAAACGTTTTAGTTTGGTATTTGCCCATGAACATAAATGGTACAAATGTAGTTGGATCAATTTGATTCTTATAAGTTCCAGAATAGTTTCATTATGAACTTATTCTGCATTTAATGCCATATTGGCTATATACATTGAAATATTTCTTTCCCTGATTTTTGTTTTTACTTTTTTCTTCTGTGAGTGTTTGGGGTGGGGTGGGGTGGGATGGGATGGATAGGATTCTGTACCTGACTTCATAGTTCATACAACTGTTGAAAGCTTGAAATTTTAGGTCATCTTCTTTCAGACATTATAGATATGTTCGTTGCTTTATCTTCCAAAGAAGAGAAAAGGAGTTGATTAACATCCTGAGTCCTGACCATTGTATTTGGTTCAAAACTGTTTCTTGGAATAGATAATGCTTTCTTGTATTCTCCTTGAATTTGGTTTTTAACTTCTTCAGAGAAATATTCACATTTGATTCCTAATATTTTCTCATGCCGTTATTCCTTAAATCTAAAAAGACACATTATCCTGATCAATCTGTCATAATCCAATTTCTTTCCTTTAGTGTGAGACTTTATTTGAATCTTTTGTTTAAAATACAAGTGATAATGGCATAATGCAAATTAATGTACTTTTTTGAAAAACAAATATTTTACAAGCTAGTAACTTGCTAACATAAGAAAACAGTTAACTTATGATTGAATTTTAAAGCAGTAGGGTTGTTGAAATTGAATTCACTTTTCCCTTTCAGGATGCCAAGAAATTGCACTTTTTTGCTGCTCTTCTGGACAGTCTACATATTAAGTTCAGCCTTTAATCTGGTTAAATGCTTTTGCTGTTGCTTTTCAACAGTTTGCCATAGGCCCTAATAATGGGATTACAGGTACATGTATGAGATATTGAGATTCTATGCAAGAAGACTGCAGCTTCTACAAAAATCTTCCTTTTTTTGTATGGGAAGTAGGAAAGTAGCTCGAATTGCTATCTTTTATTTGTATTAAATGTTGAAATGTTATCAATGAATTTGAAATGAATTTTACCTTTTAAGATTGACCCTGCTTTGCGTCTTTGCCAGCTATAAATCAGAATTGGCTCAAGAATTAGTTTTTATGTGTATATTGTTTCATTTAAAGAATATTCATCAAACTGCATTTTCATACGATTATTGTTTGTGGCTTGAAGCACCCAAGAAAAAAAATATCCTAATGTACTAAGTATATGCTTAAATAAGCGACAATCAGTACATCCATGATCCATCAATTTCTGTAAGCCAGGATTCTTAATCCTCAATCACCTGTGCTAAACAGTACAATGTGATAGAGTTTTATCTTATATTAACCTTTAAGTGGAATAATACAAGTACTTTTACCAAAGGCACAATTTTGCATTTCTTCTGGAAACCTCATTACTGGGCCAATTAAAACTTAGGTGACCTGGGAACAAGTAGGCAGATGTTACTGGCAAGATGATAGAACAAGTGCTTTGAAAGTAGGATCTACAAGTGGTAGATGTGGGGTTTGCAAAGTCCTTTGGTTTCTCCATTAGGTAAGAGTTCTAGGCAGTTTACATCTTTATGTCTTATTCTTTGATTCTTTGATCGTCTATTTCATTAGTTATTTCTTTTTGATTGTTGTTACAGGTTGAAAATTATTTTTTTGACCAGAGTTATCTTCATTGAAATTCAACCTCACAGTGTGCTGAGGTGGATTAGGACTAATATCTCTGGAAAGTCTTATTTTGCATTGACTAAGATGAAAATGCTTACAATATAACGGTCAATAATTAAGAACCCAATCTGATATATGATATAATGCAACAAATTCAAACTTTACGCCTTGCTTCCTTTCTCAGTTCCTGATATGCTATAGGGTTACAACATCTGAACGTGAAAGAAAATGTTGATAAAAATGAACTAGTGAAGCTGTATGTTGAATGGTTGAATGATGAACACGAGATTATAGTCAACTGCTAAAATTTTAGCTCTCCATTGTTCAACAGCCTTTGCATAAGCAGTTCTAATTTAGAGAGATGATGAAACAATAGATTCCTGATTCCTTAATTCAGCACTGTGGTCCTGTAGGCAGAAACTTCAAAGCAGCTCTGAGAGTTGAACTCAGATATGCCTTTGGCAACACTGAACTTCAATACTAGTTCTAATTAAGTAGAGATGTCTTATTTGCTTGAACACACTATTGTAAAAATCGGCCTAGGCGCCCCTAGGCCAAGGGGATTTTACCATTAGGCGGGCATTAGTCAGCTGACTAGGCGCCCGAGTCGGACAACTTGGCACCTGAGTCGACCAAACTCGGTTCCCAAGTAGGCGACCTTGGCACCCGAGTAGGCCACTTGGCTGAGTTTTTTATTATTATTTTTTTGGTGTGCAATGTGTACATTGCTGTGTTTTTCTTATTATTATTACTCGCCCGCCTAGGCGCTAGGCGCCCCTTGGGCACCCGTCTGCCGCCTAGCGCCTTCTACAACATTGCTTGAACAAGATTTAAGTTACAGTAGTTTAAAGGATTATCTGCATAGGCTGTTGGAGGAGGAAGAATAAACCCCAAAGTAAAAGAGATGGGTATCCAAGAACACACTGAGGAAGGTAGGAGTGCTATGTCTGCTGATGAGCATATTTGGGTTGCAAGAAGAGGTAATGCCCTGGCTCCTATTGTTGCTTTCTGATGGCAATGGAAACAGAGAGTTTGCTTCATAAAGTTTTCATGTATAGGTCCTTATAGTCTTTTGCCTAATGTAAGTTATTTAAAATCTCATAAGCATGCATGTTTTTCCCAGAAGGGTGAATGAAGGAGGAAACTAATAGTCAATTTATGTTTGTATATCTCTGAGCTGAAGTGGTATGTTTTTCCCAGTCACATATTTGTACATTTGGAAACTTGGTCATGGTTATATGGGGTGATGTTCCAATGAATCCCTCCTCCCGTGAGAACCTACGAACTTGTACATAAATGCACAAAATCTTAGATTCCAGTACACAATGCATTCAATCTACCCTGGAATAGTTTGTGTGCATTCATGTTGGTTCGCAGGTTCTCACGGGAGGAGGAGTTCTCATTTGATCATTAATCTGTTTATATATACTAACAATGAAGTTTGTCGTCTGTTGTTTATATCGCAAGTGATGATGATGCGAGTAGTGGACTACCATACATGATTAGATACAAGACTAACCAAGTATTAGTAATAGTCTGAACTTCGTCTATCTCCCTTGTTCTCATGTGCTTGGACTATATATCCTTCTCGGTTTCAGACTGCGTATTCTTCCTCACGTTTGTTTCTTTTGGGACAGGAAAAAGAAATTTGCTTGGCTGATTCCAGAAGTAATCAAATTTCCAACACGAGCAAGATAAGTTTTTGGCAATGGGTTCTTTTGTTTCCAATGTGAAAAGTTAAATACATGACTGAAAGGCTTTTGCTATTTGCTATATGCTATATATGGTGTCCGGTTGACCGTACAGATTATTACTAGTTTACTACTCTTGATCTAAGACTAAGGAATCGTCTGTGGTCTAACCTCTGGAAAAACAGTTTGGGACCTCTAGAACCTCATACAGATGCAACCGAAAGTGGTTGGTAGGTGATATGACCAAATGGTGATTTTTAGTAACTAACCATTGGAGCAGTTGTTTTTGGCATTGTGGTGATCAGGACAGGGGACCCTGATGGTTGTGGATGCCCTCGTAGGTTGTTATTACATAGCTTGGGTCATCTTTGTCTCGCTCAACTCTTTTCTTCACTTGGCAACCATCCACAGAGCACTTATAGTAATTCCTGTGATAAGCAATGCAATCATGGTAAGCTAGCTGTGGTGGTATCTTATCATATGTAAAAGTGCAACTATTTATCAAATTAAGACTCTCTTTCGCATTATGTTGGGTGGAGGCCGGTGAAGGCAAATTATGCCCTGGAAACGTGTTCACCGTGAACGGTGAACACAAGGCCAAACGACGTCGTTTTTAGGCAAAAAAAAATAAAATTTCGCGGATGTGGAGTTAACGGGCGCGCGTTGATCAAATTATGAATTTTCTGTTATGAGATTATGAATTTTCATAAAATTCATAATCGCATAACAGAAAATTCATAATCGCATAACAGAAAATTCATAATCGCATAACAGAAAATTCATAATCTTATAACAGAAAATTCATAATCTCATGGTTCCAAAGTGAATGTGTAGGCATGGTTCCAAAGTGAATGTGCAGGCATGGATTCATAATTTATGAATGTCCGTGATTTCGGACGGAAATGTGTAGGCATGGTTTCAAAGTGAATGTGCAGACATGAATTCATAATTTATGAATGTCCGAAATCATTGTTCACCTCAAATTAAAGTGAAACCGCAAAATGTGAAAATGAAGAAGAAAACTCACGCAATTAATTAAGGAAAAAAAAAAAGAAAGATAACGGTGTACTAATACCGTTGGAACCGTGTTCACCATGAATGGTGAACACGGTTCCATGGCATAACGCTCCGCCGGTGAAAGGGTCAAGCCCAATAAATAGTGGCTAAAGTGATTGTTGGGCAGAGGCCAGTGAATGGCTAAGTTCAGCACGCCTCTCGAAAATGTGGTGGTTTATAAGAAAATAAATTTTCGCCTTCGCTGTGAGCTATAGTTTTTGGCATAGTGGTAAGCGTTTGATTCTAATACATTAGCTAAAAGTCGAAAAAGATATAGGCACTGTTTGGTAAAATAGTTAGCTTATCAGCCAATTTTGGCTTATTTGATCACTATTAGCAGTTTTATTTGGTTAAACAATCAATGATTAATTAGCTTTTTGTAACAACTTATTGTTTCAAAATGGTAAAATTCAAAAAGTGTCTCAATTAGCTTATTTGATCAGTTTTCTGAGAAAGTCATTTTATATGTAATCAGTTAACATATAACAGTTAATTTACCAAACACTTTTCTACAATAAGCTAATGTTATCAATTAGTCAAACCCATTAACCCAATCAGTAAACAACCATTTACCAAATGCCCCATAAATGGTTAATTTAGCTATTTGGTAAAAGTAGTTGTTGAGAAAGATACAAAATGACATCTTTGTATATGGTTATGTAACTTTAAGAAATGAAAAATGGATAATCCATTAATGAATCAGCATGTTTTATTAATTTTTTAAAAATAATAAATAAATAAAGAGCAGTCGTCCATGGAGGTCTATAGTAATTCTTGTTGATAAACAATATAATCAATCATGGTAAGCTATGTTAATATCTTATCATATAAGAAAAATTGAAAATGAACTATTTATAAATTTAAGGTTTTGTTTGGCATATTTGGGGTTGAAAATTGGCTAAAAGTTGAAAGTGGTTATTTTAGGTGTTTGATAAAAGTAGTTCAGTAAGTTAATATATGTAGAAATATACAAAAAGTAATAAAGTGAGAATAATGTAAAAATTTAAATTTTATTCACAAAAATAGAATTACTGAAAATTTCAATTATAGTATTTGATATATATGAGAATTTAAAGGAAATAAATTATATAAAAATTAAAATGTTCCCATATAATTGCAATTTTTAGAGAAAGGTGTAGGATTATTGCAGAGGGCAATTTGATCTTTACACTCCAAACTTTCTTTCAATGCATTATGAAATTGTAATTTTTCAGGATTTGCAATTCCTCACATTTGAAGAATTATAATTCTATAGAAGTGTAATTTCTCACAATCAAATCTTGAAATTTTTTTTGCTTTGAATTAAGTGGAAAAGGAATTGCAATCGAACAATAGGGAGTGCATGATAATTCACAGATTTTAAGAAGACGAGCATGTAGTGCCATAAATAGTGGGTGTCACTGTCAAATCATATCATGGTATTACCTCGGATTTGGGCTGTTCTTCACCATCTTCTTGCCGTATTTCCTCCATTTGTACCCATCATCCAGTATTTCAACCTCAGACTTTGTTTTGAACGCGAACTTTTCTCTCATCTCCCTGCCGCCGTAGCTCCCACCATCTATATCAAATGCGTTGACCGACCAACAAAGTAGTAAGTTTTCTAAATTCTAATACAGATAATGAGCGTGTTTGGTAAATAGCTGTTAGCTAATTGTGTTAGTAGTTCTGACTAGTTGATAGCATTAGCCGATTGTAGAAAGATGTTTGGTAAATTAACTGTTAACTGATTAATGCAAAATGACTTTCTAAAAAAGTTAATCGTTTTGAAGTTTAATATTTTGGAGCAATAAGCTCTTACAAAAAGCTAATAGTGACCAAATAAACTAAAATTGACTGATAAGCTAACTATGTTATCAAACATGTGAGTATGTTAGACAAAATAACAGCTAGCTAGCTAGCGTTGTTTGCTTACTGTTTCTGGGTCCTCCCTGCAGGTAGCCGTGAACTCCCTCCGGAGGAGGAGGAGCTTGGTGGTGCGGCGGATTAAGAAGGGGATAATAATGACCGCCGGACACGTGCATCGCCGCCGGTTCCTCCTCCTCCCCCGCCCAGTCGCCCAAGTCGAGATATTCAGAGGGCTCAAATACAGGGTGATGGGGGCTCCCAAAAGGTGATGAGCCCATATTCTGGTAATAATTCCCATCCATGGGAGTTCGTAGTGCAGTGAAGAAGGAGTAGTGGGTGGTGGGAGTATAAATATGTTGTCATCTGATCCTTCGTAGTAAGCTTCGTGGGAAGACGGGAGAAGCTTCATGCGAGGTGGGGCAGTAGACTTGCATGGCTTACGATATGGTGTATGTTAGCAGAGAGATGAGAGTATGGTGGGGCATAGGTGGGAAGACTTGTGCGCAGACTTTGTAGTGCTTCATTTTTATTTTTTTTTTTTGTTTTTTGTTTTTAATTTAACTTGGGTATTCCAGTTTCGTCGGACTAATCCTAAACTCATCGGACCCTGTTTTTAGAGTCACTGCGGAAGTAAATCGCGAGTTGCGCAATCAGCATATTCGTCAGATCCTATTCCACTGTTGCTACCATCATGACTTAGGCCCTGTTTGGTAAAATGGCTGTTAGCTATTAACTGTTAGCTGATTGTGTTAATTAGAGGGTATAAATAGTTGATAACATTAGTTGATTGTAGAAAAGTGTTTGGTAAATTAGCTGTTAGTTGATAGCTATTTGGTATAATTTCTTTTCTTAAAAAGCTAATTGAAAAAGTTGTTTGGAGTAGCTTTTTGAATTTTAGCCTTTTGGAGTTGCAAAAAGCTAATTAACTAAACATTTATATTGATATTTTAACTAAATTAAACAATTAATAATGGTCAAATAAGCTAAAATTGTCCTATAGGCTAATTTTTTACCAAACAGAACCTTAATCAGATGATGAACCAATTACGCTAAATTGTGGTGGGATTTTGTAGTGCTTAATTGGTTGGTTTCGTATGTGAGTTCTCTACACCTTGACAGATATTGGATGGGTAGCGTAAGTCGTTCAAGATTATATTTATTTGTGTAGGGCGGCACAACTGCATGTTCTTTTTTTTTTTTTTTTGGCTTGTCTCTTTATGTTTGCTTTACCTTAATTTCTTTTCTTTCTTTGACTCTGGTTCAATTAATTAAACAGGTATTTATAATTTAATTTTTCATAATATTAGATATAATATACTTTGTATAAGAGTTAATACCTCTAATGGTCTTCCGAGTATTAAGAGTTTACCCGCTGTGTTAGTTTCTTCGAATTTTAAATGGCCTCCAATGGTCCTCCATGTTTTAAAAAATAACAACCTGTGGTCCTAATTTGAGTTTTAAACTCAAATTAGGACCACATGTGGTTATTTTTTAAAACATGGAAGACCATTGGATGTCATTTAAAACTCAGAAGACCATAGCTGATAAATTCCTAATACTCTGAGGATCATTGGAGGTATTAACTCTGTATAAATTAAAGAATACATAGAAAGTATTAGACAATAAAAAAGTTTAAACATCACAGGAAAATACTAAGAAAATCAGGAATAACAAAGAGTTGGTTAATGGTTTGACATGAATACTAAACATGACATTAAAATCTGTTATGAAACCGTCTCACGGATCTTCGTACATGAGATATGAATTTTTAATAAGCATTACACTTTTTCTCAAAAGTATTACAATTTTCCTCATAAATAATTCTTCAACCCACTAACATAACATTTTGATTTAAGGGTCCGTTTGGAAACTTGTAAAATGTTTTCAGGAAAATGATTTCTAAAAAATGACTCATTTTGAAAAATGTTTTATTTTATGGTGTTTGGCTAAAGGTAAAAAAAAAAAATGATCTATTTTCTGTTTGGTTGAAAGTTTAAAAATTGTATTTTTTTCTGTTTGGCTCATGGTTCTAAAAATGAACATATTATTTGTTTTATAATAATAAGAGTTAATGCCATATGGGGTCCTCTGAGTATAGTTATTTTGCCACGTTTATTCGAGGGATTTCATTTTGTCTTTATCTGTTCATATATACTTCGCACAAAGAGTCAATATGCCCCTCACAAATATGACAATTATCAATGTCACACCTGAATTATTAGTGGTGTAAATGTGGTACCTCAATTTTCAAAACGTGACATATATATATATATATATATATATATATATATATATATATATATATATATATATATATATATATATATTGCGTCTTCCCTAATAGGAAGAAGGAGAAACATTGTTGTCGGCGGAAGGAGAACAAACGAAGAAAGAAAATTGAAGAAAAAATGTGGTCTTCGAACAAGAAAAATGACGGGTAACCACATTTACACCACTAATAATTCAGGAGAGGGGCAATATATGTCACGTTTTAAAAATTAAGGGGCAATATCTACACCACTAATAATTTAGGAGTGACATTGATAATTGACATATTTGTGAGGGGCATAAATTACAATTTTTCCTTCTTTTAATTGTTCAAAGGGAGGGGAGCCAAACATGAATGCTTTTACAGAAAATTTCATTCTTGTGTTACTAGAGTATAAGATCCTAAACCATTGCCATCTTTTTTGTTAAATAGATAAATAGAAATGATTTCAATACAACCTTTACAACAAGATTGAATTCCATTCCAAAGAGTCATTTTGTCCACCTTATATGCCTTGGGTAAGTAATGTTGTTTTATGTTTTGTGCCTATTTATAAAAGTGTTCTCTTCCCTTAGAACACGAAAATACCAATAGGGTCCACCTTGCATTGTAGATCCTAATACAAAATAACATTTAGATTATGTGTCTACAGCTAATATATTATATATATATATATACTTTCAGTCAATAAATTATTTGTTTATTACAATTAACATATTGTATATGCAGTCGATATATTATGTACTTGTAGTTAATAAATTATGTACATACAATTAATAATATGTTAACTGTAGACATATAATCAAAATGTCATTTTGAACCAGGATCTATCATATAAGGTGAACCATAATTTGTGGAATACTCCATCACGAGGGAGAAAAAGAAAAAATCGATTGTGACGTATTTAACGCTCACCTAGTACTCCATCATTGAATTTTCTTCACATCTGATTTATGGGAAAACAACATATGTTCATATACTTTTGTAGTAGAAAACAATAATTGAACCCCACATTCTGTCTCTATATACTTTTTAAAACTGTTGTTGCTGGAATTTCAGTAATAGAGATTGGTTTTTACACATGTCATAGGGGTTCAAATTCAGGTTTACCTAACTAAAATCGTTAATAGTAAACCCTATTCAAAATGATATCTTAATTCTTAAATAACTATTTATTTATTATTACTTTTTAGGTGACAAGAGAAATTCGTAATTACTATCTACAGATGTACACTGGGTAAACTTACCAACCAACTTAAATCAAGAAGATCTATAGACTTCTTAAGAGCTTGACCAATTTGACTAAGTAACTATTTATTTAGAATAAGGATCAAATAGGCCATCGAACTACACACCAAAATGTAATTAGGCAATTGAACTAAAAAAACATGTAATTAGGCCCTAAACTAATCAATTTCATGCCATTAGTCTAATTTGCAGGTTTTCAGATTTCTAACAGGTCATCCTAAATTTAAAATATTTTTAAAAATAATTATTTAAAATTAAATTAAATTAAAAAAAGTCTCGCGGAAGACGAGGGGAGTTTCTTCGTCTCTGGCACGGCGGTGACGGTTTTTTTTTTTTTTTTTTTTTAGTTTCATTTAATTTTAAATAATTATTAATTTTTTTTTTTAAAAATTTGGGGGTGACTTGTTAAAAACTTGAAAAACATGTAAATTGAACTAATTGCATGAAATTGGTTAGCTTAGAGACCTAATTGCATATTTTTTGAGTTCAATGGCCTAATTGCATTTTTGGTGTGTAGTTCGATGGCCTATATGACCCTTATTCCCTAAATATTTTTACAAGGGAAAATTGCACTTTTCGTCATTAAGTTATATAATAATTGTAGAATTCATCCTTAATTGTTGGTCATGTTCACTTTTGTCTCTAAGCTATCATTGGCGTTGCACTTTTCGTCTCTTTACTAACAAAACATTAGAGACGAAAAATGTAATTTTGTCTTTTTACAATTATGACAAGTAATAAATACCGTTTTGTTATCATAAAGAGGGGAACAATCTTACTGAGGATCATAAAGGGAATATGGTTTTGGTAGAGGGTCATACTTGTGTAACAGTATCCATGAGACGAGTTGGATCAATATGAAACGTAATACTTATACTGAAAAATGTAATACTAATAAGGAATAAAGCAATTGTTACTTATGAAAAAAAATATAATATTTTTTTTTAAAAAATATAATAATTTTATATTTTTCATCAAAAGTATTAACACTTTCCCTTATAAGCAATGTTGGTAAGTGTTTATTATTTATAAGAGAAAATGTAATTCTTATAAGAAAAAATGTAATACTTTTAAAAATATTATATATGTTATAAATACTCTATTCTTAATTAGTATTACATTTATCAGTATAAATATTATAGTTTTATATTGACCAGAACCGTCACAATCTCACATAAGATTTTGCCTTTGAGTTGGTAGATGTATAATGGAGGAATCACATGATTTATTTACGGCAATAAAAGAGAATTTAATAATATTACAAGTTTGGAGAAAGTCCTTATCGGTCATGATTATAACTCATTGGTGCAAACTAGCCAAACGTCCCAACCTTTCATTTGCATTCAAACTCTCCCTTGTTACTACTTAGACACCGCAAACGGCGGCGCGTCCAACCTTTGTAATTTTGTGATTGAATTTTCGCCATACGCCACGGTGCCTCCATTATCTATTGACTCATCTTATCAAACATTGCCACATGGTCGATAGTTATGGGCAAATTATGCTGTGCACCCGTATGCAACATGCATGGTGCATACGGATGCACACAACGTTGTTTTAGAGTAAGGACATGGTATGTTGTTTAAAAAAAAAAAATTCGTAAACGGCGTTTTTTTCCTTTCAGTTTCTTTTCCAAGTTTCCAATTCGATCTTTGGCAGTTATTCACTGTGGAATTGGCAATCGAGATCTCTGCATTAGCAATCGCAATCGCAATCTGTATCGGAATTGCATTCGAATTTTTACGTATTGATTGTTAGATGGAGGAGGGAACAGAGCAGGCAAATTCTGCAGTTGGTGCTGGGCATTCGATTCAAGGTGATTTGCATTTTGCTATTGTTTTTGCATTTGTTCCTTTTGCGTTTTTGTATGATTTTGTGATTCATTGCGATAAAATTGTTTTTAGCAGTGATGTTTGTGTTTAGAATCT